GAGTGTGAGGCGTGCAGGAGGCAGCCGATTCATGATTCTCTCTCATCGTTGATGTTCCTATCTCTCTCTCCTCCTCTCCCTTCCTCTCTGAAATCCATAAAAATATATATAAGAAAAACAATCCCAGAGACAAAGCTTAAAATCAGAGTCTCCTTATTGCAACCCGGAGAGGAAACAGGAAGATCCGGGCCGGGAAGAGACCGGCCTGGCATCCGGTGTTACCTAACACCAGCTCAGAGGTGGGTTTCTGGGCCGGCCCAGCATCGGCTCTAGAGCGGTGCCAGGTTTGGGGCACCTCCCACCCCAGCCTCCGTCCATGTGACTCATGATGCACTTTATTCCCTGGCCAGAGATGGACGCATGACTCAGGAGAGCCTGAGAGCTGGGCCTGGAGTTCCATGGGGATGGCTGGGAAACAACCCCTCCTACGTTGCCAGGACAACGGCCCCTCCTCAGTTGCCAGGACAACGGCCCCTCCTCCCTTTTCCAGGACATCAGCCCCTCCTCAGTTACCAGGACAACGGCCCTCCACCGTTGCCAAGACAACAGCCTCTCCTCCATTACCAGGACCAAAGCCTGGAGCTGCCTGGAGCCCATCCTTACCGATAGGTTGCCACCTCCAGGCTGAGGCTGGTCTTCACCTGCACCAGCTCCTGATAGTCCCGCAGGTGGTCGGCCATGGCCAAGGTGAGGGCAGCCTTCTCATCCTCCAGGTGGTCAATCGCACTCTAGAAAGATCAGAGGGTGTTTAGATCAAGGCCCGGAGCTCTGCTGGGTCCAACTGGCAGTACCAATAGTCCAGGACACAGAGAGATGAAAACCGTCCAGGTTAAAGGGGCAGTCATCGCAAGGATGGTTTCAAGTGGTGCATTTGTTCCACATAGCAGGGTTTTTTGAAAATTACATATGGAAGTTTTGTGTGGTTTTTTTTAACCATCACCTAAGGATATTTTTCCATTGATTTTTTTAAATATATATTTCTTTATTGATTTTAGAGAGGAAGGGAGAAGGAGAGAGAGATAGAAACATCAATGATGAGAGAGAATCATTGATTGGCTGCTTCCTGCACTCCCCCTCCTGGGGAATGAGCCCGCAACCCAGGCATGTGCCCTTGGCCGGAATCGAACCTGGGACCTTTCAGTCCGCAGGCTGACGCTCTATCCAGTGAGCCAAGCCGGCTAGGGCCATTGATTTTTTTTTTTTTTTTTAAGAGAGAATGGAAGGGAGGAGGGGGAGAGAGAAACATTGATGTTAAAGAGACACACCAATTGTCTCCAACCCGGCTGGGGATTGAGCCTGCAACTGAGGTGTGTGTCCCTTTTATAAAATGAATGAATTTTTAAAATTTTTAAAATATTTTTATTGATTTCAGAGAGGAAGGGAGACAGAGATAGAAACATCAATGATGAGAGAGAATCATAGATTGGCTGCCTCCTGCACGCCCCCAGCTGGGGATCAAGCCCACAACCCCGACATGTGCTCTGACTGGGAATCGAACTGTGACCTCCTGTTTCATAGGTCGATGCTCAACCACTGAGCCACGCTGGCCAGGCGAAATCTTCTTTTTTGACTGTACTTGTAGGACATCAGTAACAGAGCACGTGCTCACATGACTCTTACAGCCTTCTGCTTGTCAATCCCATCTGTCCATCTCTCTCCATGTGCTTCTGTGTCCCCCCTTCTAGAACAATGCCAGCCGCACCTCACCCCACTGATGACTCCAGACTCAGCCACAAGGTTAGCGTAGAACATAAACACTTTACTCCCTTCTACTCTACAAAATTTCAACCTAAATAGTCCAACCTGAGACTCTGTTGTAGTTTATTCTTTTCAAAGACGTTCATGTATTATCAAGCTGCTTAGAAAAAATAAAAACAGATGCACTCAATTCTCCAACCACAAACCTCCTAAGCTGGTTAAGGTCTCCTAGCCATGCCGAAGGGGTACGGGCAAAGAATCTCTCTTCCCAGAAGGCATGGAAGAGTTCTGCACCCCACCCCACCCGCTTCACCCCCCAAAATGCAAAGAGGAAAATCAAACTGCATTGGAGTGAAAGGAAGTATTGTCCCAACCACATTTCCATGCGAGTCAACTTTTCCGGAAAACTGCCAAAGGGAAGTTTGACTTTTGGAAGCAGGGACATAAGACTCATTGGCACCCGAGCCGGTTTGGCTCAGTGGATAGAGCGTCAGCCTGCGGACTGAAGGGTCCCAGGTTCGATTCCGGTCAAGGGCACATGCCCGGGTTGTGGGCTCGATCGCATTGTCGGGCGTGCAGCTGATCCATGATGCTCTCTCATCATTGATAGGGCATGGCAGCTGAGCCATGATGCTCTCTCATCATTGATAATGTTTCTCTCTCCCTCTCTCCCTCTCCCTTCCTCTCTGAAATCAATAAAAATATATTTTTTTAAAAAAAGACTCATTGGCTCTCAACATTCTCCAGAGAAATTCTAACCCATCCCACTGATGGACTAAAGCTCCAGACTTGGGCCTGGCTGGCATGGCTCAGTGGTTGAGGGTGAACCTGTGGGCTACGAACCAGTTCGATACCCAGTCAGGGCACATGCCCAGGTTGTGGGCTCGATCCCCATTAGGGGGCGTGCAGGAGGCAGCCAATCCATGCTGTTTCTCAGCAATGTTATTTCTATCTCTCTATCTCCCTCTCTCTTCAAGCAATTTTAAAAAATTTAATTAGGGGGATAGGGGTTCTTTCCACCCCTAGAGCTTCGAGGTCCGAGATGAGCCGCGTGAGCCACGACAGCAAAGGAATGGTGAGGATTCACATCTTCCAAACCCACTCACTCTTGCACCGCAATATCACCCGATCGCAAGTCTTTTAACTCGGAGCTACACAAACTGTTCCCTTAAAAAAATACTTCTGCGTTTATGGGCGTGTTATTTTAAGCCGTCCTCCTGGGAACTACTGATAGGAGGATTTGGGATTATTTCCAATTCTGTCCGAGACTGGGCAGGGCGTACAGACAATAAATCAGACCAGGTGTCACCCGGGCAGTATCCGAGGTTCCAGCCTGTGCTTCTCTGAAATAGCAACTGTTTACCTTACTCGGCACTTGTTATAACAGCCTGCCATCGGGCCCTGTTTCCACGGCTTTTACACTCCCCAGGGACCTGGCTTCAGCTCCGATTGTGAAACACACACACACACACACACACACACATCTCCACAACTCTTTAATGGATGGTTTGGCTCAGTGGATAGAGCATCAGCCTGCGGACTGAAGGGTCCCAGGTTCGACTCCAGTCAAGGGCACGTGCCCGGGTTGTGATCCATAATTCTCTCTCATCATTGATGTTTCTATCTCTCTCGCTCTGAAATCAATTTTAAAATAATTTTTTTTAAGGATGACAGGGACAGAGCTAGCCACCAGAACCTGGCACTTGGCACTCGCCCACTGAGTCCACGGGCCAGCGGTCCATTTTCCGGGGCTGGAGAGATGTTGGGACCCTGAGGTCCTGAGGCAGAGCGAGGTGTCCCCCTTCAGTGACCTGGCCCCAGGCAGCTCAGGCAACCTCGGGGCCAACACCACCCAGGGTGACGCCCAGTGAAGGCGCTGTGGGTCCGGGGAGCCCCGCCGCTCCCCCATCCCCTGCAGGGCACT